CTCTCTCTCTCTCTCTCTCTCTCTCTCTCTCTCTCTCTCTCTCTCTCTCTTCCACCGTCTATTTGTATACGTATTAAAATTACTATTAAAATTACTATTAAAATTACAGTCTAGACAGTTAATATTTCTCTGTGTAGTAGGAAACTCTAGGCGAAAAAGAATCCCTGTGGATGATCTAAGAAAAGTAAATCGGTGTACGGAAACCATTTATCTAGCGTGCAATTAACGATAGAACGTTGTGGATAAATAAAGAGGCGGGAAAAACGTTGATCCGACATGCAGAAAAGACGTTAAGGTTAAGGTTAAGAGTTAAGGTGATCGTTTTTCTCGACGAACCCAACGCTACGGTTTACGCTACGCTACGCAACGCAATTCCGTATTTTTTCTAATAGCCGCGTCCTCCAACGGTTCTTATTAACTGATAGAACTGGCCGCGTTAGAAGCTACGTCTAGTTGACACCGTTAAGGGATTAACTCTCGCAATTAACCCCTTTGTCGGAGTCTGAATCGTCGTCTTTCAGAATGACAATTTCCTTTCCGGGAAACTTGTAATCGTGTCATATTAATATAGCCGTATTCGACAATAATATAAATAGATTTCGGTGAATATTCTACTTGGTCGAATAAAAAAATCAAAGAAATACTGGTTGAAAATGGTGGTTTATTTAAACAGCTTCTAGTTTCTAGTTTCCTGTTTCCTTTTTGTTGTCGCAGGTCGCCACTATCAGGGAGCGATACACAAAGCAAAATCACGAAACGAACGTCGTATTACCCCCAGGATCCGAACAAGAGGCCAAAGACCAGGCAGGAGAAGGTGCGAGCTTGTCTGAGGCACAACTCTCTGACTATCCTGACCGTGAGCGGTGTGGTCGGTGGCGTTATCCTCGGTATCATTCTGAGGAATACGCGGACGCTGGGATGGACGCCTCGCGAGATCATGTACATCAATTACATCGGAGATTTGTTTCTGAGAATGCTCAAGAGCTTGATCCTGCCCTTGATCATATCCAGTTTAGTCTCTGCCATTGGCTCTCTGGACCTCTCCCTCAGCGGCAGGATCGGAGCTCGAGCTATCGTCTATTACATGGTAACCACCGTCAGTGCCGTTGTATTAGGTGAGTAACGTAGCTGGAACGTGTAATATCCTTAAAAAACAAGTTCCTTGATAGTTTTTCTTTCTCTTTCTCTTTCTCTTTCTCTTTCTCTTTTCCGTCTTTTTACTGTCTCTATCCACTTCCAGACAAGCTGCTATACATGTAGATGTAACGTAAACAACACTTGCTCTTTTTTTATTCTGCATATGTATGATTCAGACAGGCCCGACTCGCCGTTTCAAGGATGATTGATTATATTATTATGCACCGTTGCGTAATGCATCGACAGACGAGATTACCGGTCGTCTTAAATAGAGATGAAACGAAATAATTGTTGAATTATTCGATTCCACCTTGCAGGTATTATTCTGGTAATCACCATCCAACCGGGTGTAGGAAACAACCCACACGTCAAAACGAAAGCACCTACGCAGAATGTTTCCACCGTCGACACGTTGATGGACTTGGTTAGGAACATGTTTCCTCCGAATCTGGTGGAAGCCTGTATCTCTCAACACAGAACCGAGATGCAGAAACCAGAAAACCTTACATTAGGTAAGGAATCAGGTCAGCTTCTATCATTTCTCCCGACAACTACATATTTTATTTATTACCAATTTATTCCTATTTTTAAGCCGGCAATCCAGACTACTGGGAGCCAAAACAGAACAGTGTCTCTGGAACCAACATCATGGGCCTGGTCGTTTTCGCGACAGCGCTAGGCATCACTCTAGGCAAAATGGAAGAACAGGGAAAGCCGCTGCTTTTCTTCTTCGAGTCCCTATCAGGCGCTATGATGTTGATAACTCAATGGGTCATTTGGTAAATTCGCATTTCATCCAACTACAGGCCGCGCGCGATCTTTCTGTTGGACACTCCTGGAAATCGAGTTCGAGTCGGAACTCGTAATTATTACCACCTTCCACAAAGTAAACTGCCAGCTCCACGCAACCCCGAAAATATATACGATATAATACTATTTAAATAAATCTGTCGTACAAGATTTTCCACGAACGAAACGCGTTCCATGTTTCTCTGAATAAATCTTGTAATCTTGTTCCGCAGGCTGTCGCCAGTGGGTGTGCTCTTTCTGGTGGCCGCCAAAATCACCGAGATGCAGTCCCTGGACGAAGTCGTCGGACAGCTTGGAATGTACTTTCTGACCGTCTTGTTTGGCCTTTGCATACACGGTTTTCTAATTTTGCCCATGTTGTACTTTATCATAACGAAGAGAAATCCGTACCTGTACATATCCAACATGGCACAGGCGTTGGTAACCGCGTTCGGTACGTCCTCGAGTTCGGCCACACTTCCGATCGCTATAAATTGCTTAGAAGAGGGAAACAACGTCGATCCTCGGATCACCAGATTCGTCTTACCGATAGGTGCTACCATTAACATGGATGGCACCGCTTTGTACGAAGCCGTGGCTGCGATTTTCATCGCCCAAGTACGCCAAGTTAGCCTCAGCTTTGGTCAGCTGGTAGCAGTCAGGTGAGCAACGATGAATTCGCGGTGCCTTTACAATCTTACTTTTCCTTCTTTTCCTATCAAAAATTTACTATACATGCATTTACTACACATTCTTTTACCTAAATCCCCAACTTTTTACCTTACATGCTTTACAACATTCTTCAAGGAATTGTTATCCCATTTCAGCATCACAGCAACTGCTGCAAGTATCGGAGCAGCTGGAATCCCGCAAGCAGGTCTGGTGACGATGGTAATGGTTCTGGATACGGTTCGTCTCCCAGCTGACGATGTTTTCCTGGTGATCGCTGTCGACTGGTTGCTGTAAGTTCTTTCGTCCGTTAACTGAACAAACGTATCTCGCGAGATCGATCTGAATATTGTTCTCTGGACTTGCAGAGATCGGTGCAGGACAACGGTGAACGTGGTAGGCGATTCACTCGGTGCAGGAATCGTGAATTATTTGAGTAGAAACGAGCTGGCTTCGTTGCCTCATAACGGACAAACTCAAAACGGAGCAGACCATCACACTACAACGTCTATATGAGATTAGTATCCGTATCGAGCATAACAAATAACAATCTCTTTGTTCTTTAACACTTTGCTCGTCGACTACTCGCACATTCCCATCAAATTTCGAGAGATTAGGACGTAGTTAGTTGTCTAAAAGCGCCGACAACTCGATAGCCTGAGATACGATAGTACCATGAAATTATCAACGTTTTTCTATACAGGGACAATCGATATTCCATATTTCCATTGCGTAAATATCCCACAATTTTTCCACGTTATTCTTTGTATAGAAGAGTTGGCAGTGTTTTATATTTAATTATTACCTGTAAAACACTACCTGTTTTATAATCATTTTCGTTTGATTAAACTACTAAATTATCCAATAATTCGATCATGTTTTAATGGTCGTTTCCATTAAGTTGCTGGTTGTGTTGCGTGATATGACCAACCAGTCAAATTTTAATGGAAAGAATCAACAGTTGATTTGATTGTATTTTCAATTTAGAACATGGGAACACGCAAACGAAAGCAACCGAGTTACGATCAAAACAACTCGTCGAGTATACAAATCACGTGGCATACCATACATACCATACATACCGTACATACATATACACTTTGACTTAGTTGGAAAGTGTTATTTTTCCATCGAGTCCTTCTTCGTTCACCTTACACCATTATTCAATACATTCGAATCGTTGGGTTGTTCGGCTAAACGAAATCGCGACCAACCTCCAATTTTATTGTCGTTACGTACATATGTACAATTCTACACTTGTACGTGCAAGTGTTGTTACAGATTAGCAGATTACCAGTGCGATCATGCCTCCTACATTTTTTTCTGATAATGGTCATTTTCAATATTCGAAATGGGGAACAAAGGCGCAACCTATACATACTATGTATAATTGACCAGTCGAAGCAAAAATGGAAAGACAGATCGAATATTGACAAATTTCACATTTATTTCAAAGAGAGAAAAAATCATATTTCAAAAATGATCTATCTCAAAGGCATTTTTTAATTGATATTTTTCTTACATCTTATCAGACAATTCAATTGTTATTTTAATTAATACTGATTTTGTAGTAAACGAATAGCCGAGATGTATAAAATCCAAGTGTATACAGTGGTTGTAGAGACAGTTTTAGTCACTATCTGTGTATATCGAATTACGATATGCATCTCCTTAATCTTTGTCTTCCATTGCTGTATAATCTATGACGATATAATCTATCGATAATCCGAAAATTTGGATGTAAAGCATCGCGTAGTTGTTAATTCCTAAAATCTTGAGAAACAAAAATATAAAGCTATTACGAATCTGTTCGGTTCTTTTTTTTTTCTTGCTTTTTTTTTTACCCCTCTTTACAACGGTCCATATGCGTACAAAATAACGCGGAAAAAGTGCAGAAAAAACAAGTTATTTCGTTACTTTGCCAACTACATAGTAACGTCTGTAGAAAGCCAGTAACAAGAATATTAATAGTATATGTACGATTTGCAAATATACATATGTATATTTAAGGTATTCGTTACCGGACTAGACAAAAAGTGTTCAACTATCGACTAAACGGTAAAGAAATGTATTTTGATCGTGTCTTTCTAAACTAATGAAAATTCAGCGAATTTTCTGTATATTTTTCAACTGGAATACAAAACCTACCATAACTATGCACGCAATTCTATTCTCCGTGTACTTGAATTCAATGTTAATGTTAAACGCGAACAAATATTGGCCACGTTCGTTTTCATTTCAATGTTTCCATATTTACTAAACGTGACACAGCTCGAAGAATAAATGATCTATGTAACTCTATCTACGAAATAACTACATACATATATAAACGAATTGCAAAGAAATTATTGAATATGTAGCGCAAATTGACTATTTTCCCAACGTGAATTCCATTGACACTCTTGCGGTTTAGAACTTGTAAATAATTTTATTCTCCTTTGAAAATTTCACTGTCACCTTTAACTTAACCGACTCGAAAGTAATAATCAAATAGTTGGAAGGTAAATATTATTAAGAAATCTAGCTGATACCGCATTAAATGTTGGCGAATCAAGTTGTCTATTTAATATATCGGCATATAGCGAACGAATACTCGTATTATCGTTATTAATCTCGCGAATTGATGTACAGTTACAGATTGTAATCAAATTCTACGAGTAGAATTCATGTACCTGTACGTAATTAAGTAATGCCATAGTTGCTTAAAAATATTCTGTATAATATTTATTTGTACAATAAATGTACAAACTGACGTAACAATAAAGCTATTACTTATTTCTAAACAACGACACATCTATGTCTTTGAAAATACCACGCATTTTCAGCCGACTTGCTTCAACATACGCAAATAAAAGATACATCTTCGATGTCGTATTAACGCGATAACTAAATAAAGCGATCACGCGATAAAGTGAATCAAGTAACGTAATTATTAAATTTCTTAAACAACTAATCACTTGATCCGCATACAAAAATAGAAATAAATTTATTCAGCTCAAGTATCTAATACGGGTAAAGCGTGTAAGCATGTCCTTTACAGTATCCGATTTGCATTCATAGTTTAGGAGCTGCTGTCGTTTTATTGAAAGCGTACTCGAATCTTCTAACGAATTTTCATTTAATCAAGTAAAAAGAAATTCAAATTTCCCGCGGAAAATTGGTATCGCCATCTAGCGATGTGTATATCGAACTATCTTTGGAATGTGATCAACGCCTCTATCGGCAAAATGTCCAAGTTTCTCGCGCGATAGTTTCCATTTTCGACGTTAGATGGCGCCACTGCAACGTATGTATCGACAGTGGTACAAAAAAGAAGTTCTCCTAGGTAAATTTTATTATTGTAATACCTCTGATATAACTACAACTTTATTACTGTAAACGTAATTAAATGAAATTATTCGTTATTATTACGAACGTATACCATATGTCCGTAAAAAGATATTAATAACGCCATCCAGCAGTACAAACAAGAACTATTCGACGACAAACTTGGACGTTTCCCCGATAGAGGTCCTAATCAACTCTGCAAAACAGTTCGGCATGTTCACCGCTAGATGGCTATTGATTCGAGCGAAAATACCGGGAATCCGCAAGAAAATCGTCGACAGTTTAAATCTTTAACAATGTTTTATATTCTAATCTACTTTCTTTTCTCACTGTTTTCGATGTGGTATATACAGTTATATGTCGACTCGGAATATGAAATAATCGCTTCGGATAATTACTGAAAATTATTTATTTCAGTTATAGTTTTATCTGTATCTGTGCATAATATAACAATCCTTTTTGTTTCACCAGTTATTCTTCGAATCACATTGTCACGAATTAATATCGAGTGATATACATAGTGGCAGAAAACACATTTTTTTGTTCATCTCGGAAATACTGAAAAATTACTTTCGAAAGATATTCGTTATAAAAACAGCAACGTTACAATGTTTCTACGATGTTTCGAAAATTACGGAACGTATTATACTAGCGTATTAATTATAAACAAAAATATGGAAAATTGAATCGCACGGTAAATCGTTGTTGGTGATTGGTTTTATTAGGAAAAACAAACATAAAAAACCACGGATGTTTCGTTACTCGTTTACTACACGTAAAACTAAATAGCTTAACGCAATGTGACTAGATAAAATGCACATCTGTTGTAATACTTTCAAGTAAAGGTGTATTAAAAATGGAACAAAGAGAATACTAATTTTAGGTAAATAAAACTTTGTAACTTGGGAATTTTTGCAAGTGGTTTGCAAACTGTGCCTTTAACATATGTGTGTAATTGCCCACGCATATGTATACAGCGGTTAATATCACTAAATTTTCTATGGAAATATGAACGTTTGATTTCACTTTTTTTTTTTTTTTTTTTGTTGCATAACATGTGGATCAATTTAATGTTTGGTCTAACATTATACTTTATCCATTATCTCGCGAACGCAAGGTCGAACAGCAGATATATTTTCGTTATTTGACGCGATCACTAGGGTTGCCACCTGTTCGTACTTTCGTATTTCTACTATACCGCCGCGAAAAATTGTTCGTTTTCTAGTTCCAGTTACAATGGACGAGCGAGCTATCAAGCAAACTTGCCACGGGAACACTTGATTAGCTAAAAGTTTATAATTGTAAAAAACAGAAAAAAAAAAAAAACAAAACTGATAAAAACCTTGTTGAAATATAGTCGAATTATCCCAATTATAGCAAGAATTTCACGAAATAAATAAAATATCGTTTCTGTGTACATATTATAGATACTTTAAAAAGGTGGCGGCCCTAGTAATAATTAACAAACGTGGACGTTCGAAATGATTTATCTACGATAAAAAGCACTTTCGTCGGTGTTGAATAAAAGTTTTATATACGTATATAAAACTTCTGTACTACAGTGTTAGGTGATCCCATAAAATGAAGCATCGTCTTGCAACACGATTTCCAATCGTGGTTCCTTTCTCGATCGTCGAACAAAGCCAAGACTGTGCGTAAAATCGACAAAATGCACGTTTATGAAATCTCGAGATTTTAGACAGGCATCGTTATGTACACAATATAAACAATTCTCTATACTATTTACAAAAAAAATCCAGTTTACGAATTTCGCGTTAATACTAAACACCTATAAATCACGTTTCTCATCGCCCCGACAGTGTGTAAAATATCGAACGATAGGTTCGTACCGCGGTAATAAATTGTGCTCGATAAGTGTGAAAACGTCGACATACAGAATAATTTCTCGATCCGTGTTTAATTTATTATTCAACTCTGAATGCTTTTTAATTCAGAGAAATTCCTTGTATCCACGAACTTAGGTCGCTAGTGTCTTCACAGCTGAGGCTTATCGAATTCTTCTCGTTCTTTCTCGATTCCAGAAGCGTTTGGGCAGCGGTTCGTCCAGTCAAATACGCTCCGTGTACTGTACTATAAAAGGAAGTATGGGTATGCTCGCCAGCGAATGCTATCACTATTTTCGATGGATCGTCTTCCTGCTTTATAGGTTCGGCTAAACAATTTATGTCTAATTGACTCGCGCCTACTGCCATAGCGGTATAAGAACCGTGCGTGTACGGTTGCATATGCCACGAGGTGTGTATGCAATTGTTTGGCGCTGGTACGAATGGATCGTTGAGAAATTTTCGTAATATCGATGTGCATACATCGGCTACCTCCGCTGAACTTAAACGCTCCATATACTCGGCAGCCTTTCCCGATATCCATCCTAACAGTAGCGTTTCCGAAACTTTAGTAAAAGAATATATCTTCCTGAACCATGTTTTGCTAACGTCTTGCTTTTCTTCTTCCGTTAATCCTCTATCGTCCCAGAGAAGCATCACTTCCGATATTCCAGGATTCAGAAACGGTCTTTCGTACTCTAAAAATATTTTGTCCACGGTACCGAACAAAAGTCTGTCTATGGCATCGAGTTTATAAGTAGGTAGAGGTGGATCGAATATATCGTTAGCTTTTTCCTTAAGAACTCCTAATGGCAATGTACAAATCACATGTTCGGCTAATATTGTTTTCCCGTTTTCGCATTCTATTTCTATAAAAGTGTTTTTATTAGGACAATTATTCGTAGAATTCTCGTCTTCCGCGCACTTTTTTCTTTGCCACCTGCAATCAACGCATTTGTATCAACACACGTACAACACGTATATATACCGATAGTATTACTGCTTAACGGTCAAATCGGTTACGGTTAATCAGCTTTCTTACATAAAATTCTTCTTACCTAATTTTAGTAACAACGTGTCTAGTAAGAATGCTGTCTTTTGGTATGTGTTTTGCGACTGGTTCCAATATAGCACTGTAACCATCCGGAAGACTGATATTTCCACCTTGTAGTTCCGCGTACGAACCCATTTCCAAAAGATCAACATCCTCCATACTATCACAGCCAGTAATACAAGTTTCTCTTTTAAGTAAACAGTCGAACAACAATTGCCTAATTCTTCTGTCCTCTTTTGGCAGAGACGATAAGTAAATCTCAGCCTCTAACGCGACGTGAGCGCCGACGCTGTTTATCCCATCCGGGGGACTATAAGGGCTTAAAAAATATTCTTCGCACCGCCTTAGAAAACACACGTAAGCTTCGTAGATTTCTTGCAAAACTGGAAACGGTAGTTGCTTGCCGTCTTCCGTAGCTGCTACAACTTTATGAGGCCTCGGTATGCGTACGATATCTATCAATCCATTTGCCATTGCTAATTCAAACATTGGATTTCCTAGGACTCCGTGGATCCAATTTGCCCCTAACTCAACTTTTTCGTTGCCTATATTAAAACATTTCGTAAATTATTCGATCGTACATTTCAACTATTAACGACAATTAAATTCCTCGATGTCATAAACGTCTGTGTCGGTGTTAGTAATTGTTTATTCGTCAAAGAAATTTCTTTTCTGATTGTTGGAATAGTAATCGAACTCTGTAATTTCGCATTATGAAACAGAGGATCCAAAGGTTCGTTTAAGTATGGGAGATATCTCGAATGTGTACAAAAATTATTTCGACTAAAATCAAAAAGCAGAAACGAAGAATCGAACGTTTATCGATTAAGGGAATACGAAAATAGGTTAACCAAAGACTCACCGATTTTTAGCGAGACGATACGACCACCTATCCGACCTCGTGCCTCGACAATCAAAAAATCAGTTTCGTGGTTCTTCAATAAATGATTTGCAGCTGATAATCCGGCCATTCCTGCGCCGACGATTAAAATTTTGCACTTAACTTTGTCATTGTTCGACTTGTTCGTGGATTCCGCCATGATCATACCATATCAGCTGTCAATGGTAAAACGAACGTGGATGGCTTATTAATTTTTATCTACGAAAAACTGGACACTGCTATTTCTCCATTTCATTACAGATATCGTACCTTTTACGAGAGATACTCGAAAGTACTCTCTTGGAATGTATTCAGAGCTCTTTGATGGTTTTCATACTATACGCGCGCGGTAACGGTTGCATCGATGCATCGGTGCTGCTGATCCGTGCTGATCCGAGCATCCACCACCAGGAAAGACCTGGAAACACCACAAGGCCACTTGGCCACTCGGCCACTCGGCCACTCCACTCAACTGATAACTGATTTTACTAATACTGGATTTAGTTACCTAAAAGAAAAATTGTTTTCTGGGTTGGAGTGCTTTTTAAAAATATACAAAATATTTGATAAAAATTCAGTATAATGGATGTTATACGTACATGTACTTATACTTTAGTGATACGATAAAAATAATGTATTCAAAGGTGTCGGTGGCGCCATTTTACATAAATAGTAGGAACTCTATTTTCACTAGAAACTTGGGCATTTCTTCACCGATGGCGCCACCAGTACTGAAAACCAGTATTAGTATAATTGCAGCGTTGTAGCTGAATTTCCTACAGCTTTGCACTTGAATAAGTAAATAAATAAAGAAATAAAGAAATTAGTATGAATCCATTTCAGTGATTTAAACATTTTTAAACTCGGCCGGTCACAAAACGACTTGCAATTAGCGAACGGTGGCGTTTCTGGACGCCACGTTCATCCAATGACGTCATAAACACCAAAAAATCCGGCAAGTCTTTCGCCTCTGTAAAACTAATCTGCGGTCAAGTCCTGTCCTGTCGTTTCGCTTCGCGTTTGCGCTATACGCAGCTATACGGTAACGGGTACTGAACGGTACTTGACGGCAGTACTTGATAACGCTTCAAAATTTATAGGATAAAGCAGTGAAAGCTGGCGGCGGCATGGAAAATTAAATGTACCATGTTGCAATTTAATTATTTCTCTAGTTTGAATAAAAAATCAATGTGAACGATGAACAGCGTTTTCTAGCAGTTGATATAAATAAGCCAGTAGTTGAAGTGCTAGGAGAAAGTTTAATACGCCACGTGACTATGTACATGGGTTTTACACAAAGTTTTGATCGCATAGGTTAAGGTGAAGGCACTCTTTAGCCGCTTGGCGGGAGATGAACTCTACTTTTAATTTTTTACATTTTATCCGTATCTGAAATGGATTTCGATCTGCCATTCAATTTTATGCCAATGTTTTCTATTATCCTGTTAATAATCGTCACTATCGTCACGGTTTTTCAAAAACTAAAGTAAGAACAACTTTTGCATTTTACAATTTTTGTAATAATCATAAAGACATTCACGACGTGTTTACTTGCATGCTAGGTTCAGGTGGCCTGTGAAAGTGAACTGCTGGTTTTGCAATAATGACACCAAGATTTGGCGACAACAACTTAACTGGTGGTTGTGTCCACATTGTGAACAGTATAATGGTTTTTCTAAGGTAAATCAATATATGTAATTATAGTTTAGTTGTTTAGTATGTAATTCAAATGCTTGCATGCATCTATGTATTAGGATACTTGTTTGTACAACAAAAAATAGAATCAAGAATGATAACATAATTACAAAGAATTTATACATAATTATTTTACTAGGTCAAATTATTTCACTTATTAAATGGTTTTAAAGTAATGGGAATATCTTTATACAGAATTTAAATAATTTATCTATGCGATATCATTTAAAAGTCTATGTACTATTTCTATGTTATCTTACGTATCAAATTTTAGAATGACGATTACACGTATAGTATACCAGAACAGTACAAAATTCCTTCAAATGAAATGAAAAGATACTGCAGGAACAGTAGGGATACAAGCATTAATAAAATTGCAAAGAATGGCCTTTGCAATCAATGTATGTCATGCGAAAGCTTAAAGATATCAAAATTGTCCACTTTTACACCTGCCAATGAAAAGAATTACGAGCACGAGTTGAAACAATTTAAAGATAGTTTAGAGCAACGATATCCATTATGCGCAAATTGTAAAATTACTGTACATAATACATTACACAAACAAGCATTTTGGCTTGCCAAATATAAGATGTCGCTGTTCAAGCAGAAACCATTTCGCATTATTAAGAATGTAAGTATACCGTAATATATCTTGCAATAGGATTTAATCAAATTACTTTGCGTTATAAATTTTTTATTCCTTGTAGAATGCAACATATACAGAATCAATATTCAGAACAATTTCAACAATTTTGGATTCTATGGTTGCATATAACATGGATTTTGTATTCTTGCCAATCGGAGGACTGTTCTTTCAATTCTGTGCTTGCTGGGTGGCTTCTACCAGAAAAAAATTTTCCGATATATTGCTGATATTTTTATGGATTTGTATCATTATACTTTTACCATTTAAAGACTCGAGATTGATTAAAACAGATTTACGGAATACATGGTTCTCCCTTGAATATATTACTCTCTACCACACAGTAAGTTAGCCAAATATACCGCATTGATAATTATACTGTCGCAAATTGATACTAACCTTATTAATTTTCTATTACTTTTATTTTAGATTATGTTATTTATTTCAATTATAGGCTTCGTTAATGTAAAGCCAAAATCTCGTAAAAGCGCATCAAGTAGAAATATGTCGTTTAAAAAGATGGAATCTTCTACTAAAGATACAGTATTATCTGATTCATGTATGACAACTAGGAGTGATAAATACGATTTTAATACTAAAAGTATCTGTAGTTTAGGCGAAAAAGTTACCAATCAACTGCCATCAAACGAAATAAATGACTGTAAGCTTCTTTGTATGGAGAAACCAGCAACAACTCCTAAATCTATAGTATTCCAAAGTCTACCGTAAGTAATCTGATTCTGTACGTATCCAGTTTAAAGGAATAATACTTCAACTATTTTTTTATATTACAGTACAAATCACGAATCACAATTATCTACTTTTATTAACGATAAAAGCGTACTTTGTAAGCCTATATCTTTGTATAAAAATGGTGTGCCAGAGAACAATTCTTTGAACGACAGTTTGACTACATTAAGCACATTGTATTTGAGCGAAGATAAACCAAAGTACGCAACCAAAACGCCCAAGATTTTTGAAAAAAAAGTGTACAATACAACAAGTTCCGAGATTTTTAAAAAATTAAACAACACTTGTGGTAAAAGACTTATTTTATCACCACCTAAATTGAAATCAGTTACGCAAGCGTCATGGGTAGCCGGTGGATATTGGCATGACGGTATCGACCCACCGTCATTATCCAGATCATCCAGTCAGAGTTCTGGCTTCGGTTCTACAGGTTCTAATTTTGCTCCATCCAGAGAGCCATCGGTACACGAATTTGATCAATGTTCAGTTATATCGGATGGAACACAATCCTATTATACTTCAAGACAAAGTAACGTTAGTCCTGTTGGATCCTTCTGTCAACAAAACTTACAATCCCCATTTACAGAACTAAAAAATCTCGTTAGTAATCAAACAATGAAACTTCCATCGCCTAATCTCTGTACTCCTAAAACATTACTACCGTCTCAGAATCATCAAAGTAACGGTTCACCTTTTATGGATCAGTGTTACCAAGGACAAAATGTAAATATCAGCGATATTAAGAATCCCTCTGAAATGCAAATGTTTCCTAGTCATACCACTATCGTAACGAGTCCTGTTTGGTTATCGACACTTTTATGTGGTTCGCTCATATTAAACATAATAGTACTGTGTACTACTTTATTACGTTAAACAGGGTATGAATCATGCTTGATCTTTTTTTTGTTCATCGTTTCATCTTTAGCTTAAGTTTGCCATTTACCTATACATATATTAATTATTGATTACCGATTACATTGATTACTGTTTTAACAAATAATTATTAACGAAATAGAATTCTTCGTCTTGATTACGAACAGGTATACTGCCGGTATGAAGTTTTCCGTTATCGTATGTAAGTGACTGTTAATACCTCTTGTTTGTTTGTTTGTTTTTTTCTTTTTTTCTTTTTTTTTTAAGTATAAAAGAACACGATTAAATACTGCTGCCCTTCTTTGTATGTATTTTTATTATCGATCGAGTTTAGACGATAACCTGAATATTAAGTTAAAAGGATAATAACAGAATGTTAGATACTGGTATGACAAAAGATTCGAGTGACATTCTAAACTGTCAATCTTGTGATAAAGAAAATGTTCTTCATGTGTGTTCATTAGTGAAATATGTATGTAGTCTAACAAACTTAAGGATTAAGGAAACAATGTGAAGTTACGTACACTTTATATAGATAATCGTTATTTTTCTCGATTTAATTTTATTAGAACTTGTCTCTGCGTGAGAAAGACTCGTTCTACCTTTTTGATTCTTATGACTCATTAAAATATATTAACACAAAATACTACTATAAATCTTGTTAAAACGATAACGTCAGAATAAATGTTCATTCTTCTTTTTCTTTTTTCTGCATGTATTCCGGTACTCTCAGTTTAAAAAAATGTTGAAATTCAACTTTGGTACGTTAAATTTTTACTATAACATAATAAAATTAATTTTAACACAATATTGATGTAAAAGTTTGTCGATACCGAGAACAGTGTTAAAGAAATTCCAATGCTTTCGTTATCGAACAATTTCGTAACTACAAAAAAAAAACCGCAGGCGGTAAAAGTACGAGTTAGCAATACCACGGAAATAAAACGGAGTACCAGATTAAAGATTTTAATAATACTGTAAAAATATTCTCACGACATTTTGTAATTACTTTGAAATTGTGCTAAAATGAACCTTGACGTTATTTTCAGGCGAAATTTTGTTAATATATAAAAAATACCCACATCAGCGTGCTTCCATACACGAATTCCGTTTTTCTTAAATACACAACGATAAGACTGTACTAATAATTTAATTACGATTTTCAATGAATTTAAGGTAACGTTAAGAAGAAGATAGTTTCTAAGATACATGTAACATTCAACAATTTTGTACATGCGTAAGATGTGAATCTGAAATGTTCTGCACATTTGTGAAAATATATAACATGTTTATTATACATCACAATGTGATGTTTAAACAACTTAATAAAATATATATCTTTATCTGATATATATCACAATTTTATTGATTCATAATTTCTTATTTCGTTCTTACAATGAATTTAATTTACGTCTTGCTGTCCAAAACCCCCCGCACAGCTCCCCTCCCGCCCTTTTCGTTAACCCTTCCCCTATTCCCCTGGCTCTCATTGTCCTCCCTGTTGTTCTATTTTACAATCGATTTGGAATTTGTAGCTTTAAACGAAAGTAAACAACGTTCGATATCTGACGATTTCTGTTCGAAATGTTTAAGATCTGGTACATTAAAGTCCACTATACGTCTGTTGAATCTTTAGATAAAATTGTAGTATAAAGTTATGTTTAATTAGGATTAATGAAAACATAGTTTCTATAACTTACCGGGTATTTCGTTCAACATTTACTGGCGTTAGTTGGCCAATTTCTTCTCTATAAGTAGTCTGCCATCGACACTCAGCTATCCCATCCTCTGAATTTTTATATATTTCTTCCTCCATTGCATCCTTTAATCCAAACTGTGTCAAATTACCATAACTTTTTGTCAGATCTAGTTCTGGAATCCATTTTCTTTGTCTCCAAATGCAAAACATTAATTTTATCAAATATATCGACGAATAATCGTCGAAGTCGTCGGAGGTAATGATAATTGAAATAAATATAAATTGTAATTACTATCGACTAGAAACGTAACGCGTACCTTGCATGATACGATCTATTTCTAGGCCCTTTAAGACCCTTTGGTAAAATATTATACGACAAATCATAAGTTGTCGTCATGTTGCTATAATATTGCTTTTTCAGACCCAATAATTTCTCTCGAGACATACCCTTATGTTAAAGTTGCATTCATATACATACGATATACATATATTACAAAGGTGCAATAATCGAAAGGTGTTGTATGTACATCGAAACATTAAGATAATTACAAAACATAAAATATTCTTATACCTCGAGCTCAAGTTTGTTATCCCATTTTGCAATTTGATTCTCCTTCCAACTTTTATTAATATGAGCTTTGTAATCTGTATCGTAAATACTTTTCCACTCGACATATTCAGGTATATAAACTGCTCTACGCTCAAACCAATAACCTTCTAAAGTTTTTGGAGTATATTTGTTTTCGCTTATGACTGCTGCACGATCAAATTTTCGATCATTTCCAGGAAATAATTTCGCTCGTAAGTCTTTTAGCGATAATGTACTTTCTAAGCATCGTTGCTCCAAATTCCAGTGCATTACATCCATCTTTAGAAAGAATAACGAAATAAACAAATATGATTGAACAAATCGAAATTCACGAATAAATATGGTCAATTTCTCGTCACGTCCAACTATCTTGTAAACTATACGTATAACTACGTTACATGTCTATGTATGTATGTATATTCCCACTGAAGATCACTATAAAATGAATAAGGAAAATTGGAATTATCCATAGTTTGAACATTAAATAAATGCAGCCGTATAATATAAATTATTTTATTATTAAATAAATATACTATTCAAGAATAATTACTTAAGGTTTAATTGGTACATGGAAAAAAAATTTAATGCACTTACTTTATGATTTTTAATGCAAGCATCGTCGATCCTATTAATCGAGTAATATTCGTAATATATGATTAAGAATGGTAATGGTAAAATAAATTTCCTTACAAGTAGTTTCAAATAAACGAGGGCACGTGTTTGCGTTTATCGCAATCTAAATACAGTACTTTATAGTACCTTGCTACAGCCTCTCTAGACCCTGCATACAAATCTATCGTTTAATTCTAGCAGATTTTTAGAACTCTTATTTCATTCTAGTTTCTGCTTCAGATGAGGTAGATCTGAACTTGATCAAGGTCTTTAAAGAATATACATACATACATACAAGTATATATGTATACCGATGTAACGTCGACGCAAAACATGCGATGAAAAAGAATTTATTGTTTGCATTCCATTATTATAGCAAACCTAGTTTAATACAAACAGATCTTGCTATACAATACCATCGAGTTGCAGTATAGAGTTTCTTAACGCCTGCAATTCATACGAAATACGAAATACGAGGCATACAATAATTTTCCAAATAAAATGGTGTAGCAGAATACATAAAATTGCTACATACTTATGTGAATACGTCTGTCATCGCACATTCTCTATACAGCGCGTTTACGGCATGTTGTAAAAACAATAAAACGATTATCTACATCTGTCAACTTATTTATTTCTTTCACGTTCGCATATTTCGTACATTATACAAAACAAAAAAAAACCGCAGCAGTTATAGATCAACCTCCTCTTTAACAGTGATTCTTGTTTCCTTGTATGTATACGTGTTAACTACAAATTTCGTTATTATAATTTTAAACGCGCTTGGCGTATTATGAAAAATAATATGATGATTATCTGATTTTTCTTCGGTTTTTCGTCTTTCCACGCGCGCGCGCGTTTCCGATTAAAAGAACTTTCTCAAAGAACGTTTGGGTTCCCGAGAAATTTTAAATACAATACAATTCTTGAAATTATTCGAAGCTCGGTTGTCTCTTTTATAATTACGGAAACAAAAACAGACGTGTCCGTCGAAGAAAATGTAAATGATTGAAATTACGTTTATACGTAATAGGCTATGGATAATTGGCTAGGCTGATATTGCGGTTCACGATTCAGTAGTTCGAAGGAAAGATAGTTGAACCATGATTCAATATTCAGCGGACACGTTATTACCTTATTTTCACAGTAGAATGAAAAATACATTATCGTATGACAATATTCTGAAGATCATCAAGGCGTTAAAACATTAATATTACGTGTATTTTGCGATAAATACATATATGTATTTGTAGCCTTTTACGAGTAGAGCATTTTGCGAAGATTGTGTATTTGTCAGTTTGCCAAACTAATGTAATGGGGTACGGTTATATTTACATACATTTGACAAGAATATTTCTGTAGTAATTGCACTCGTTATGCACCACGCATTTGTCTTTGCATACTAGCAAACACAATTTCACCCTCGATATCACAAAAGTTAAAAAACAGAAGATGACAAAAATGACCTCACGTGGAAACATGATTTTTCTTTCGTCCCTTGTCGGCGACGAGTCAGAGAACGATTCATAAAGAAAACGTTAAATTTCTTTCTCTTCTTTTAAGTATCAAAAAATCTCTGAGCGTAACAAGATTCCAGCTTATCGCAAACAAACAGGTATGTTGTTGCGCACAGTTTACAAAAAACTTATGTCTTACTACATTAATAAACGTTTAGAATTCTCTTGGTCTAGACGATACATCAAGTACGTGTGGCTTACAGTTTTCCATAAGAACTGTGAATAAAATAGTTACAAAAGGTATGTAAAAAGTACGCATTGGAAAGCATTAATTACTGACAAAATACAGATAGAGAACAGAGTTTATTAAAAAGAAAAAAAGGAAAAAAGAAAATGCACTTGTGTGTACGATATATATACTTGTGAAACAATGTGTTGCGAGCGAATTATCCGTGGCCTGCAACAGGTTTTAGGAACTTAAGCAGACCTGTGCAACAGCTCACAATTAGACGTACAGTATACATTTAGGTAACTTCTGAGCACGAGCTCAATAACGAAGAAACGTAAACTAAATTGTTTATCTAAGACAAAAGACTCTCCTACAGACCAATTTCGTTGGGCTGCGAACTTTAAATGTAGTATAAAAAGCCTCTGATATAAACAAAATAAGCGATAATAAATTAATTTAAATTAAATGATTATATAAAGATCGATGCAATGAAAACTGGACTATAATTAGTATAAAGTAAACGTGAATGAAGGTTGGGATGAAATTGTCCTGTCGAAAATATTCTCTCGTAAAGCCGTTGGTTCTTGGACCTTGGTAATCAGTTAGAGAAGCCAACAAACTTAACTCTCCCGGTTAAGCGGGCCCTCGTCAGAAAGATCTCGAGTTATCTGTCGTCGCAAATTTGTTAATAGCAATGGAGAGAATTCTTACAATTATAAATACTTATAAGCCACGATCATTTCTACAATTTTCTCAAGGCCGCATGTCCAATCGCATCTCACGTTAGCGATACCTACCAAATCTTTAATAGTACTGCCTCCTTTATTCAAAAATTTTAATGCCTTATAGCAGATTCGATAAAACTACTACATACAAGCCAGTCAAATTATATCAGAGTGAATCTGAAAAATTTAGTCGTTATCTTGCGATAAGCGGAATTCATTTAATTTTTTTCCTTTCAAGATGATGAAATATTTGGAATAGGACATAGTAGTATAAAGTAATCAAAGTATTTTATACGAGAGGCCTTTGCGTGATTATTTGACAGACATTCACCTTTATTTATCGTGCATAATATTAAATTAAATAATTTATAAAAATTAACTATTTACAAATCGATAGGACATGCAGCGCTAACTTCGTAACTTAATGCACTTGTCTGAATATACCCAAGCACATGCTTGTTTCGAGATAAATAAAAAGAACTGGCGGTGCTCCTTGCGGATATATTATACGTCTATTGCCCTTACTATTGTAATTGAATCAGAGTCTCTGGAACTCTTTTGTTTTCATCGATGAAAGCGTTCTTGCATGTGTTTTCTGTAAAAGTGAAGGGTTTGGCATTATGCTCACGATCGCTGTACGTTGTTACCCATATCTGAATAGAAACATGAAAAAAAAAAAAAATAATAATAAATAAATAAATAAACAAATAAACAAACAAACAAACAAACAAATATCGAAACTGCACCAACAAAAACATCGATTAACTAAAAAATTATTATTATTTCTTTTTTTTTTTTAAGTAACCGATATCACCCATCCATTTATTTACTTAAAAAGAAAAAAAAGGATGTAAATAAAAATTGTCGCAAGGTTTGTTCGTTTTTTTTTTTTTTTTTTTTTTTTTTTTAATGATTACCACTTAATCAAATACTTTTCTAGGAAACCGTACAAATTTGTTAACAACCGTTAATCGTTTAATCGCGCATTGGTTTAGCGAAACCGACGGGCGAACGATTTAAACAGATCAAACGATCCACTTACTCGAAAATGTAGACCGTCCCAGATCGATTCCTTTCATATAAAATCGAACAAACCCACGATATCACAATCAGAATGTAGATGTTTAATTATTTGCATCTAAAAGAAACAGTTGTATATAAATGAAACGTCCAAGTATCATTAAATGTTATTACTTACCACGATTTCCTGTTCTAATCATACATTGGTTAACATTGGTTATATGATGTTGACCAGCTCTAATCGGTTTAGCAATCTGTGGAATTGGTCCGCGACGGGCCAGACTCTTCTGTCTTACAGCTTCCTTGATTCTATCTACCTCGAACTGATAGCGTTTACGATCTCGCATTGCGCCTTCTTTGGCGTCTCGCAATGCTGTCTCGAGGGCTTTCACGCGCTCCATTGTAGCTCGCAATCTCTTCTCAAGCTTGGGCAATTCGCAACGAAGATCGGCGTTGTCCCTCACGAGTTGCTTGTGAACCTGTCGGAAAGAGAAACATATGGATCGTATCGGATTCAACCAGGAAAAATAAGAGAGTTTGCAACACAAGACTATTTGTGTAATTCTATACCTTTGTAAGCTGATCTAAATTGTTCTCCAAAAAGGAAATCTTTTGTTTTTGCGTAAGCGATCCGCCGTCGTCTTCGTTGTCTTCCGCATTCATAGTTTTCTTTATTCTAGACTGGAGATCCTGGACGAATAGTTTGCGCAAGTTGTGCAACGTTTGAAGTTCTTTGGCTACCGTCTCCTCCAGACCTTTGAGATCTTTTCGTGCCTGTAAGGAATCGATCGATAGTAGGGCATTACTTCTCTCGACGATTATTCACGGATATTTTCGAATGAAATGTATACATACTTGTTCCCGGCGTTCGTTAAGCAAGATTAGTTCTTGTAGTTTAACGGACTTGTTTGCTTCTTCTTGTTTCAGTCGTTCGTAATCGGCTTGCATTTGTTGATGAGCTAACGTGAATTTCTGATTCAAATCTTTCAGTTCACCGATTAATTCTTGCTTTTCAGATAGTTCGTCTCGGAGCGCAGCAACCTATAATAATAATCGCGATATTAACGATAACGTGCCATTTCTTCTCTTTACCAAGCAACAACACACATAAACCAACCGCTAGCGTTTCTGATCCTTAAAAAGAACAGACTACAATTATTAAACGAATTTTACCTGTTTCTGATGAGCATCCCGCAATTGATCCATTTGTTCTTCCAGTGCCACTCTCATCTTTGTCGCTGCTTCCTTTTCTTCAGCTTTTTCCTTATTCGTGACAGCTTGTACTTGCTCCGCAGCTTTCAGCTTTGCGCATTCTTCGCGTAGAGCATCGACGTCCTCTTCTAAAGCGCGTTTTCGCGTTTCCGCTACTTTCATCGATTCCGTTAATGTCTGCATACGAGCTTCGTGTTGCGATATTAATAAACGACAATCGGCCAAGTCTTTTTCATATTCAGAAACCTACAAACACCAAAATGAGCATCCTGTTGGATGGATGAAACGTAATCGATAATTAAAATACGAAATCGAACGCTTACTTTCTTGTTGCAGTCCACTTGGAAACTTTCCAATCCCTGGCAACGTTGTACTAAATTCTTCACCTCTGATTTCATTTTGCTAATGAAAAGTCTCGCCACTGTGAATTCTTCTTCGAGTTTACCATTGCTTTCCGGCGCAACCTACGCGAAACACGATAATTTTAATAAACACATCTCAATGTTTGCTTCATAAATCACGTTACTCGTGATTTGTTTACCTTCAAATTTTCATCGCCGCCAATAGCAACTCCAATTTCGCCCAAATCTTTCAATAAATTCGCTAACATTTCCGCGATGCGTTTCTTCTGATGCGCAGACATGTCTCGTAGTTGTTGCAATTCGGAAGCAGTAGTGTTCAATGCTGTTTGTTTAGTTAGAAGCTCTTCCATCAAAGCTTCCTGTTCTTTATTTTTCCCTTCAACCTCCTGCGATTTTTGGTCATAATTAACTGCAAGTTCCTCCAGTGCTTGCAAAACTTCTTTAACTTCTTCCTTGGCGCTTTCGTTTTCTAGTTGTATTTGGTTCATTTCTTGTTGGAGTTGCTCGTAATCTCGTCTTGCACTGGCGATTAATTCCTCCTGTTCTTCCATTTGTTCTTTCAACTTCTCGACGTATTGCGATTGTTGGTTAATCTCCTCATCCTTGTCATCCAATTGTTGATAAAGTCTTTCTCGTTCCTCTTCCAGTTTTTGTCTTTCTTCGTTGGATAAAGAGCCTGCCATCAGGCTGCCACCAGGAGTTGCTGGCATCGGACCATCGTCAAGTTTACCTAACGATAACGCTTGGTGTTAAATTTAGTACATCTTTATTTTCATAAAGTCCAACTATACGTATAAAATTACCTTCAATGGAAATGTGAATTGGCGTTATAACGTCTTGCGCTTCTACCAAATTAACTTGTTCCTCGGGATTAACCGTTTCACCCTGTCGCCAACGCGATAATTCAGCCTCCAATTTCTCAACTTTTCCTTTCAACCTAGCTGCCTTCTCTTTTTCTCTCTCGTAGCGACGTTTCCATTCTTCAGCTGTCAATTCCTCGTTGACACAGACAACGTTCTTGATAGTCTTGGCACGTTTACCTGGCAAAATAGATAAAGGTAAAGCTCCGATGTGTCTTTATCGAGCCGGTTAATGAGAAATTATACAAGTTTCGTATTACCAAAGTCTAAGGTCGATTTTGTTTCTGATTCGTTAAAACTAGCTGGCGAGCAACAAATAATAATCGTAGTTCTAGCATTGCCACCGAGAGATTCTTGTAGAATTCGAGTCAACTTTGAATCACGATAAGGAATGTGAGTTTTGTTTCCATCGGCTAAAGCTGAAATTACATTGCCAAGCGCCGATAAGGATTTATTAATATTTTTTGCTTCGTCCAACACGGTGCCCTCTGCCCCCGTCTTGGAAACCTAAAATGTAACGTAAAAACCGTGAAACATTTGTATACTGGTAGAAAAGAAAAGCAAGGTCTTGAAAAACTTGACGAAATAAATGTATAACCAACCTTCTCGGAACCAGCCAAATCAACAAGATACAATTTTCCAGAAAGCTTTTTTTCATTTTCCAGATTTTCTTGTTTCACGTTTATTAAGAATACGGAATGAGAACGCGAACTGTGCTCATTCATATTAGTTACAGCGATGTGTCTAATAGATTTTCCTTCCTCTATTACCTCGAATACTTCTTCGGGACTAGATACAAATCGCTCTGTTGCACCTTTCACGAATGGAACTCGATTCTTATCTTCGTGTACGCTTAAATTTACTTTAGACACTGAAAACACGAAAAAGAATACAATGAGATCAAAGAAATTAAATTATTAACACAATGTCGATAAAATATACAATTTCTTACCATCGAGAAGATCTCTGATTTTATCCATATAGATTTCAAAATATGAGACTTTGATATGAAATTCCAAGTTTTCTTCCATGCCGTAGATGTGATTGAAAATATCGTTAACAATTCTGGGAATGATACCCTGTTTATTTGGATCTCCGATAATACCTTCCATCGTGTGCGTTTTTCCTATTTATACGTAAAACATATTTTGACAAATGAAATTTTTTTTTGGTATTTTTTATTCTATCACTTCAGTAATTACTTTTCTCTCAGTGAACGTTTTTACTTTTGAAATAACAATCGCGATTTCATATACATACGTAAATTTTCTATCGATAATAAACGTACGATATTAATATATTTTATTTATTATAAATTTTCACTTACCCGAAGATGTTTGACCATATGCAAAAATAGTGCCATTGTATCCAGCCAATACGTCTGTGACAATTGATCTAGCCGCTTCGTTATATACTTTGTCTTGAGTAGCATTTGGTTTAAATACTTTGTCAAAAAGATATACTTTTCCCTAAGATAATAATATAATGCTTCGTTAACGAAAATATGTAACAATAAGTAACGTAATAGAATCATTGAGAATATCCATAAATTTAAAATCATTGATAGATTATTGCATTAAATTTTAATGAAATTTGTTCATAGGAGCAATCGAATATAAAATGCACAAGAAAACAATTACATCATACGTATGCCTCTAAATCTCCTTCGCGTACTAGGAAGTCTATAGGAAAAATGGAGACAATTGCATTCACCGAGGCTTTGTCTCGGGAACCACTTGAAACAATAGCGATATCTTTTCTAAGCATCAAAGAAAATGAAAGAGCTTCCATATAAGAGACAATATATTTCATACACATTCTACGCGTACAGATACAGACACAGCTACAGCTACGGCGTTCAAGCTAATTTTACATATACATACATATAGTACAAACAAGAAATTAAATAAATATTATGGTTAATAGCTTACAATAAACATTTATTAATATAATCTTTAATAAAACAATTATAAATAATTACAGAAGCGCATTTCTATCTTGTACAAACGTACTAGAGAACATAAACGAGAAATAATTAATGCTTCCTTATCGGTTAGGTAAGTGCCGACCCTTCAAATGAACCGGTAACAATCTCTCTATGTTTTGACTATGTGTTTTCAGATCACGACTTAATTCATTTTTTGTTAGTATCGATAAAACAGTACAAGAGTACGGAAAAACATTACAATTGCATTATTATAAAATATAACATCGTCCCTTCTAAATACACAATCGGAAAGTAAAAATTCATAAATGCAAATTCACAAAATTTGTATATAACCATAGTAATTATAAGAAATCATGGAAACATGGATTATTATTTCATTCTTAAAATTAATATATTACAAAATAATAACGATACTATAATATGCTATATTCTTCAAAATCGATTCAAAATACAATATAACGTGGTACAATATCAGCGAATAAAAGGAATAAAGCTTCGACTTGCAGAGGCTTTCGACTTGAAGGTTTAAGTTATACAGATTTATGCGTACATTAGTAATATTTTCAAAATAATATCCAAATAGATTAACAAATCAGTTATACTCTCGATACACAGAAGATATCTTTCATTTTTAATAAACGATTCTCTCATTGTTTGCTTAATATTGTGAAAAATGGAAATAATTCAGAGGTGTTCTACCATTTTGTCGCGCGATTATTGGTTTATCGAAAAAACAATCAATTATCGACAAGACTCGAAAAGAAATTCCATATAGTCGATAGCGATAGTTCGGTAAAAGAGACATGTTCATTTAAAAGTTAAGCTATCAAAATAGTGATTGCGTGAACGTGTGAAAATGATTGATAGGAACGAGGAACGAGGGACGACGAATGTAGAGAACGAGATCGATTTCGGCGTAAATAACAAATATGAATCACCAATCAGCAGCGTAATTTGAATAATAATTAATCGGCATTAAAAGTATTGGTAAATTTGCATAGGGTTAAAAAATACGAGACAGTATGCAGAGGAGGATCAAGAGCAGCATAACAAGCAGCAGCTGTCAGCTGAGCACAGTGACATCACAAGTAAACGGTTAACTAGCCTGATACAACTGAAAAAAGAAAAGAGAGAGAATGACGTGCGTAAAACGTACCCCAATGGAGATGCAATTCTCTTCGCCGCCGGAAGGGAATTTAACGATAAACTTCGAGCCAGCCCTTTCCTCGGAGTCGTTCAAAGGTCGAAACCTACAGACTACCTTGATACTATCCTCCGCGGCGATCTCACGCTCCTTCGGCGTCTCCATTGCCATATTTTGGTAGCACGAATTCGTGACACGAGTTCCTCAATTCCCCTATTTAACCGCGCTTAAAAATGATTTCCGAACTTTCGTAGAGTGCATAGGCGACGGGATGGTCGGTTGAACCGCATCAAGATACCACTAACGTCTCTCTGTCACAAACCACAGCCCGTTTCGGAGCCAGCAAAGATGGCTGCCTTTGCTCGACGATTTTGCGGCTGGGCTTGATTTGCGTGTGCAAAGGTGGTGAGAATCGGCGATCGTACTTGTCGTGAATCGGTCGAGGAGCATGGACGAATAGGTTACTTCGCGAACGCGTTTACTTTCTAATGCATTACTACTGGCGCAGACTAAGCCACGGTGAGAAGTATTTTCCTTGTACTTTGGTTTTCTACAGTTTTCTAAAAAGCAATCGATGACCAAGGTCTAGACAAAGTTTAACGCAAACGCAACCAAGTAAACGTGCGCGCGCGCGCGCCGACTGCCCTACCGACTCGCCTACTTTGCGCACTCGATACGTACATATATATATATATATACACATACACCGTACACCATTGTCGGCGCTGCGGCGAGGATATCATACGCTTTCAGGGCTGTAGTATGCGTGGGTGGTGTCGAGCTACGGCCACTTTCTTTCCAATCATATTTTTACTAAAAACTTGTAACATCCAACGCTCCTTCTTCTCCCGTGTACCGATACGAAACGCATTTTTCGTTATCAACTAATTTACCGATACAATGACTATCGTTTATTACGAAATGACTTCTTTTTGTTTGAATTAACCGCCTTTTTGGAGGCCAAGGTTGTAGTCTATCTCGCTGAGATGTTGGCGATAAGAGTCATCGATATGTATATGCCTAAAAATTGGGGCGGGGCGCACCGAGATCCATGATTGTACAGTCAGTTTTTGTACAAAGAAATTACAGTTATTTTTCCACATTGAAATTTATTGTAAACTTTTTCAATTGTCTGATAAAAAATGTGTGTAACCTTTTTCTCTGTTTTTACATGATTCATTTACAAGAAAAATGCAGAATACTAATTACATGAACGTTTTGTAGATACGCAACTACCGACACGATTTTAACGATAATTTGACTCATCGATGACACTGATTACACCAAAGTTTCCGTATTCTTCAGAATTATCAATCACTGATTTCATTCCATGCTCTTCCGATAATAAAGTTCAGATTTTAAATGAATTTGATTTTTGGAGGAGCTGATAGATAGCTTGTCTAATCCAGACCTAAGAGACACTTCTTATTTTTAAATAAAAACGTCCCATTTAATTATCGTAATTGTTCTATGATTAAATAAAAGAAATTCCGACAAATAAAACTGGAAAACAACAATATTTACTGTAACATAACAAAAGAGGCACATTTTATTTTCTTTAACAATAAAGTAAAGAATGCCCCTCCCGCGGTCATGGTTCGTTATAAATGTTGTGTTAACTAAGATTAACATGCCTGTACCATGTACAGTACATACTACGTTCTACCATTTTGCTATGCTACATGACTAGTTTACAGACAATATAAAGTGCAACTTATTTTCAACAATCACATAATATTAGTATTTTCATTTTAATAAATAGCGTTACTATCGTTACTACTTTGATATTATTATTGTTATTTAACGATATCACCGTTGTTATTGTTATTATAGGATCAGAATGATCGCAATTTTAAATTTCGTCAAGTAAAAATCGTATATTGTAAACATGTAGGCATAGTACTGTATGCTCGATAACCGTTAAATTTGCCAATAATTATATACACGTAATGCTTTGATACAAATTTTGTTAGATATTCATCGTTAGGTTAATGTAAACTGTTACTCTTCGGTACAATCTCGATATAACGTAACCAAAGTGACCTTACTATTAATTCTCACGCATCGTCAGAAACCTGCCCATATTTAACATTTCATCCATATTATGTTTTGTTTTGTTTTGTTTTGTTTTTTTTTGTTCTTTTTTTCCGCGGAGAAGAAACGACTAAAGAGATTCAAGTTTCTTGCGTAACAAACAGTAGAAGCAAGATGAAAGTTTAGGAGGTAGAATAATTCTTGAAGCATCGGAGCATCTATGTATGTATCTGTCCATAAATTCTTCGCGTGATGACATTTGCAATATCTCGATAACATATTTTTTTTTTTTATTACAGTTGATTCGAAAGAATCGTAGAAAGAAAATTCCAAAACATGCTCTACGTGTCGAATGCAATTCTGTCAAGTGTCTACGTTAATACTAAACGCAAAATCAATATTTGAACAGTAATTTAATTATTATTATTGCTATTACTTTCATTGACTTTATAACCTTCGTTATGCTTCGTTATCCATACTTTCGTTGTGTATTCATTGACAGGTTTTCTGGACATTTTACAAACACTTAATTAAATTGCTACTCGACCTGAAGATAAATTATATAAATTACATACGTAGCGGAGAAACGTTTATAAAACATAATAATATCCCATGATAAGATATTTCTAAATGTGCAGTAAAATTTCTTTGTCTTATAAACATTTTTCGCATTTTCTTCTTCTTAAACAGATTAGGAGAATATTAAGTAAATTGACATGGAATGTCTAGAAATATTAGAAAAATAGCTGCGAATTTAATATTTAAAAATATAGACTAGAAATGATCATTGTACCTATGAACTAAATAGACCACAGAATAAATTACTAATGTAACTGCGCTATATATTTTTGTGAAATGCATTGTTTGTTTTTCGATTTTCATTGAAAATGTTGCAAGAGTACTGTTGTAAAATGCGAAGAAAAAGAGGCTCTTGTATAAATCACGCTAAATAAGTGACGTATTTTGTATCAATTTAAAGTAGAGTTTTCTTTTCTCTATTAAATCTACCAACAAGCTCTATAATCACAGAAATTTGAACGAAAAAATAACTGTATATATTTATATCGAAATATTTTGCACAATGTATTAAATCTCTTATTTTTATACAAGACGTGTAGTGCGCGAATTATCATTCGGATTCAATATAAATAGATTACAGCAACATGTATACAATATTTAAAATTTTCAAAATATGCGCAACTGTTTTTCCTCTAGATATTTACATTTTGATACAGTTTTGATTGTAGTAATCTTAAAAATCCAATTACGAGTTTCCGAACAATAGAATACATTACCAATATACCTTTAAATCCTTTAAAGACGCTTCGATTGTTTCGAATAATACGAAGAATAATCTCGTAACCGCGTTACATTATCGTATATCTTCTGTAATCACGTAAACGATTCATTTTATTCTATTCCGAAGGTATTTGTTTCTTCTACGGCCAATAAAAGCTTTTCGTACAAAATTTCAGGCGTAGGATACGGCGGAAGATCCAGACGATTAAAGCATGTGTGTGCTCTGAAAACATACGTCGTTTGAAGAATAGCAAAAACTTGATAATAAAAGAAAATTATAGGTATTATTATAGGTTTATTCTTACACCGTGATTCTTGAACAACATAACTCAATCTCTTTAATTGTTTCTGGTAATATAATTGTTAATGACAAAGGAATATGATCACGACGATTAAGTTGTATCGTTTACCTGGTTCCATGGTTTACAGTTTCACTGTTAATTGTTAAAATAGAAGCTTATGTACCTGGGCAAACTATTTGGTCTTCCCCATTTTTCGATGCAAAATTTTCGTGGTCCTGTAGAACCACGTAAAGCTGCGAAGCCTTCGTATGGAATGCTTGACGTTCCAGTAACAAATTGTAATAGCCTCAACCTCTGTTCATTGGTAAATCGACTTATACTGCTCCAGAACCATTCGACTACCGGATGTGCGTCGTGATAACCACTCCTGTATTCCGTGTGTGTCCTCCAATCGTTGAGATCGATCTCAGCTGCTCCAGCTATTACCAGCTCTAACTCTCGTGCATCGAAAACCGATACCAATCGTGGATCGACAACTTCGTAAAATCCACGGACCAAAGATTCCGTCTGTTCTGCCACTCCACGCTCAAGTCGCCAACGCACTACTCTTTCGAGATATTCTTTCTTATTTTTCTCGGTAACAGCGATATTTCTACCGCCAGGTTTTAATTCGCGTTCAGCCACTCGACCTAGCAGTTCTTCCGTAACGGAGAAAGTCAATTCTAACGGCTCTATACTTATGTCTTTCTCCTTGATCCACATTAAACTTTGGTGAAATTCTTGATCCAAACTTTCCAAATCGCTTAGGCTTGCTGGTATTCTTAAAAGAGCTTTATAAAATGGCCTCGTGAAAAAAGCATCGAGTAGGTATTGATGAACCAAGGCTAAACCTAAAACTCTGCCAGAGAATCGGAACCAATCGTGATAATTGTCTACGAAAGCTGACATCGGTGACACTTGTACGGTGTAAGTATCGTTAGCAGAATACTCGAACAATCCGTAGTAAGGATTGAAAAGCTCGCGCGACAGATGAAAGAAAAATTCCCGAGAGGGTCCCCCGTAATCTAATCCTTCTTCGTGGTCAAACATAACTACCAATTTGCCTTTCTGCAAATCTTTCTTCGAAGCAGCCATAATGCGAGTAAAAGCGTCTTCCAAAAGATGTTCTCTTCTAATATGTAATCTAAGCAAAACATGGAATAAAGAGTCTATAATTTAAATTGACGTTATACATATATCGTCGTCGTTGATTGAATGAAAGAAAAATGTCGAATCATATGCGAACATATACGATACGTATAATATATTAATATGAACTTACTTTAATTTTCCTGGACCCTGTCCATACCCTTTGCTTTCTAGCTTTCTGTAAAACGTTCTGAGTTTAGCTTCGAAATCTCTCCTGTACGGAGCTGGAGCTCTAGCAGAAGCTCTCGTTAAGCCAGGCGACGCGTGTGGACTACCCAGCGGTGACCTGCCCACGTTTCCAGGTACGTATGACATAATCTCTTGTTCAAATAAGCTACAATAACGAAATCAATGTACCAAGAATCATACACCATCGTGTTGTTGATTTATAGAAAATACGATATTAAGAAACGATCATATTCTGTACCTTAACAATAGAGCTAGGGGTACATCGTGTCCCAATCGTTGCAAAGCAGTACTGCCTTCGATTCGAATGGTATTAACTTTTTCTCGGAGCGCAATATTTTGTCCTAGCGCCGAATGTCTTTCCTTCAAGATATCCATTATATTTGGCTGGCGCAAAAAGGCAACAACTTTATCGTTATAGGCAACTGGTATATCAGGCGTGGTTGTAATGGCTGATTGTTGCGGTCTGGGGGGTGGCACGGGCGCTTCGTCTAATAACGTTCGTGCATGTGCTGGTTCGGTAGGCAACCGTGGGTCAATGTAAGACGTGGCTTTTCTAGCGTGACAGATAAAGAATCTCTGAAATTGCATTATTAATACGTTTACAAACGGTATTCAACTTTCGGACGATGTACTTGAAATAACACGAGGGTTATTTCACGAAAAATACGATCGCTTCTTGCGGTCCATATATCAGACATTTTATTGAAATTGAAATAATGAATATTACGAATAATGAATATTGAATATTACGTAATATCGAAATTTTACGTAAACTTCAGTATATTTCAATTTCGTGAAAATCCCCGACGTCGAATATAGAAAAAGTGGCCGGCATGTTGTGAAATAACCCGTAAGCGATTTAAATTTGAACATATTTACTTTGCCCGTTCTATCAAGCTTCGATTCGTAACCCCTTGGAAGCTCCTTGGCTGGATCGGCAAAGAAATTGATCAATGCAACCAAATCCTTATTGTGTTCGTATCTCGGAAAAACTGCTGTGTCTCTCCTAACTCTATTAATCATGTGCTTTAGACTGGGATTACGATTATACACCTCCATCGCCTCCACGTTAGTGTGTAATTCCGTGAAAAAGTCTGGTCTTGTTAAAAATAATACCGGAGGACTCGTATTAATGTCGAATGGTTCGGGCTCGTTTCTTTCGGTTCGTTCAGCACTCGATCGCTCAGCATTCTCAAAGTTATTCCCGTTCGCGTGTTGCGAGCTACTCGGTTCACGATCGATATTGTCTGGTCGAGAAATAGTTCGACGCACGCTTTGATATCGTCTATCCAATTGCTGTCTTCGTAGGTCACAGCCGGTGTTTCGCGTTGTTAAAGTGGGCCTTTGCCAAGTTGTAGTACGATTAACATGATCTATGTAGAATACTCGGCCATGGCTATCGATCCTTGCTTCCCATGCTGTCGACAATCATGCAATTAATATACATTTCTTTCCCTTGAAATATAATTGTTGCATATAATTTAATCGTCTTACACGGGGGCAGGGGCTCCTCGGATGACAACGGTACATTTGACGTTTGGCACATCGGTAATGGACGCAATGGTTTTGGCCGATGCGTAGGCGTTGGTGGACATTCTAACTGATTCGTTAACCCAGTTTCTGGTCTTTCCAGGGGTCTATGTGCTCTTGGTGAACTCAATAACGCTATAGTTTTTGTAACAGCTGTCCGCGACTAAAATATTACAGAAAATATTTAGTGCAAAAGAAACGAACTACACAAGTCAAGAACTTACTACAGAGTGACTTGTGCAAATTTTGTGAGAAACATCGATATTCGTTCAGGATAAAAAGGGGATTTAAAAATAAAAAGTGTGTATATTACCTTTTTCAGAATTTTCTTGCATACATACGTATACATATACTGCATAAAATTACCTTTGAATTAGAAGCTTCGTCAACATCGACAATTTCAAATCCAAAACAATCTTCGGGGTGCAAAGGTGCAGGGTATTTTTGCAGATGTCTTTTGGGTAATTCTGGCGGACCAGCATTACTTCTGTGTAAAAGTTTGTGCATTGTCCGTGGTGGAAGTGGCGGAGGACTTGGATATAAAGTTTCGTATAAACGTTCAGGAGACGAAAAGCCCCCCGTGCTCCGCCACAATTGATAATATTCCACACCTTCTTTCGTTACAACACCATTCGTGTCGCATGGCCTCTGAAGCGAAATATATGTATTTTATAAGTCTAAATTTTCAGAACGAATATATACGATCTTTTCGACACCGCGACGACTAAAATTTAATTTATAAATTCGAAGGAGTGTAATACCGATCCATTAAAAGTTTTCAAAGTAAAATTACACTGTGTACGCATACATAAGAGTGTGAAAGCGGCACATCTATTCGAATATACCAAATACTAAAATTCCTTTAATTAAATAAGAAAAAATATAAATACACAAATACCATCAAACACTGAAAATAACCGTGACATGCTGAATTGATATTTGTTAATAATTGAAATAAAGTTATTATACCTTTTTGGTCCCATTACGACCTAGAACCGCCTGTTGTGATTCCGTGTCAGAATTACTTCCATCGCTGCTATTAGAAGAGCGATGCGGTTCTATTTCTATCCCTTGAGCTTCTTCTAAACGAACTTGTTTAGTAGAAGATGGTTCCAAAAGTGATACAGCATTCTCTTCGAATTCGATTTGTTGAGCACTGGCAGTTCCATGAATATTTTCTAAAATTGGCAGTTTACATGGTTTTCTTGTACTATCGTTGCAATGCGCCAACTCTGCCAAAGCGTTGCGAGGTTTTGGCACAATTTTAAATGCAGGCGAATACGAAGTACCAGCTTGGTTGAATTTACTTAGATTTTCGCACGTACTCTTGTTATTATTTTCTGCCAAACTTAATGGTTTATGCGCATTTACGATATTACTATGCCCTTCGTTTGTTGAAGTGCTTTGAAATTGCGATCGTTGATCGAAACTACACGAAGCTAGACTTTCCAAATCCACAAGCTCCAAACCGCAATCCCTTATACAAGAATCTCTACTGTTACCACTGAATCGTTTGTCGAAACTACACGAAGCTAGACTCTCCAAATCCACAAGTTCTAAACCACAATCCCTTGTACAAGAATCTTTACCATTACCACCGAATACATTATCATCGTTATTGTTCCGTTGGTCTCTTGTATTTTGTTCGTACTGAGATTCTGTACTAGTAGATTGTAAATCTCTGCTAAAAAACTGTTTCTTTCTGATCATATTTCTGGAGGATAAAGGTAATTGTTCCGAGATACTTGCTATTTTTCCAGTACTGTTTTCGGTATTAGCTAGAAAGCACTTTTTCCTTGTTAAATTCTTATGAGACAACGATGCGAGCCTCTGATTGGTGCTTTGCATAATTTCGCTACTTAGTTTACACGAAATGCTGCTATTATCTTCATTTTCGCTAATCGACGCCGACGTTGTACAAGCAACAGTCTTTAAAATTGCATTTTCTTTATTACATTTTGATTCGGAATGAGAGTTTTGTTCTTCGAGGGCGTGTACTGTACTATTATCGTCTATTTCGTCCGTTACTTCTTGTCGACAAGAAGATGCTTCTCCTTGCAAACCATTTTCAGTTGGCATACAATTTGAATGTAACGGTAATGCGGCATTTTCAGTTTGTTCTATAAAAGTATCATTTCGAATACTAGACGTAAATGCTTTATTACCATTTCTTGTAGCGTTTGTTTCCACATGTTTCACCGTAGCCGAAGGCTCCTGACTGGATGTACTAACTGTTAATAACGCAACGGATCGTTCTCTGGATTCATCTTCTTCATTGTCTTTCCCGAAAGCTGAATCGCCGATGTTAACCTCGGTTGGCATCTTTTAAAACATAGTACCAATCGGTAGTATTTGTTTACAACGCTGTAAAGAAGAAGAAAAAGAAGAAGATTATCATGTTAATATAAAAAATAAAGATTTAATTATTATTAATTTAATACAATTCCACGAGATATAATGTGAAATTATACATAGTAAGTTTTTATTCTATATAGTAGTTGTTAAATTTGTACAAGTATAATGATAAATATGAATGGATTTATTATATTTAAATTATTTCAACGAATCTAGTAAAGTTTCTCTGTTTGAATAAGAAAAGCATCGACGCGAGAACGACGAAAGTATCGACGAACGAAATTCGGACATAGATCTGACACAATTTTTTCTCAAGAAGAAATACTTTACTTAATTTGTACGGTTTACGTTTTCGACGGTCTCAGTACCTTGCTGTAAATCGAAACGATCATTGAAAAGCAATTTTTCTTCTTAAACATCGATATCGTGCATAGAAAAAGCATTAGAATGCGCATAAACGCGCAGTACGATTATCGCATGGTGTATAACAGATCCTGTGCTCGTCTTTCAAAATTGATTGGTACATCTTTTGTCTTTGAGTTGTCGTGACGAATCGAAAGCAAAGGATATTTACAATTTCCGTTAGTCACATTATACGGAACAAGTTACGGTAAACATGCCAGACTAGATCTCAACGATACCGAATTTTGGAAAAGTATAACTAACAATGCCTTGAACTTGGTACACGTTGGAAATGTCAAATAACATGGAATGTTGGTCACATTAGCACTTTTTACCTGCATATGTTACATCTTTCCGAATATATTAACCGAAAAGCCCCGGTAAAGACATTTTACGTCACATTTACATATTCATTTACTCCAATTTGAACCAGGGGGTCCAAGCTCACGTATTAAAAGTTGGTACAAAGTTTATAGCGCCGCGTGGGAAAAATTCACCCAACTAAAACGTGGGGCACATGCGCGTGTATGCATATGACGAGATATACATATATATGTACATATGCATATAGACAGTAGCGGGTTTTTTTAAATTGCTTCAAGTTATTGAAAAGAAAGTAAATGAGAGAAAGTGCAGACGCAGTTTGAAGGATTTCCGTCATTTGAAAAATTATAATTCAACACCTATAACCTATAAAAAACCCGCTACTGTGTATATACATGTACATATATATATATATGGATGCACGCGCATGCGCTCCACATTTTAGTTGGGTGAATTTTTCTCACACGGCGCTACAAACTGTCTACCAAGCAACTTTTATTATTTGAGCTTGGTTGGACTGCCTTGGACCCCCTGTGCTCTGAACGAGAGATACAAAGGACAAGTCGGGAGATCATATTTAAGCTGATTTTCGGTAGACTCGACGGTGACGAGTATACCAACGAACGATCGAGTCGAAAAGATCGACGGCGCGTGAATAGGTTGTCGATGTAGGGGGGGTGCGTCAACGAAAAGCGTCGAGTGATGTTGATCGATACGAATTACCAATGACAATTTCTCTTGTCCGGAAAAAGGAGCAATTGTAGCTACGCTAACGCCGACGACGAATCGTCTAAAGTCTAAACGACCGCAAACGTTGGAATAACACGAGTCTTCGTGATAATCGAATTTATTTAATTCATAACCATGTTACAAGTATACCATAGAAACAGGCCGAATGCGATGATCGGAAGAATCATGATTTACCGTTGATTATATCTAATAGTTTCCGAACCGTCAGGTCCTTCAAAGATGTATTCATCATTTTGACAACTGACGGTGTCACATACGCCATCAGGTTGTCTTGATAGTCTTCGATCAGTTGTGGCGTTATTTCGGATACGATGGTGCTCACGAGTTTGGACATTTCTGCGTCGTTGTACAATCCGGTGATTTTGAACTGTGCCATTAAAGATGATAAAGACCGTTAGTTACACGAGATGATATTATTTTCTCTTAAACTCGTACTTACGTCAAGTTCTTTCAGATGAACGTGCAACGCGAGGTTTTTAACATATATTTTTTTCTCCTTGGATATGTCCAAGTTTACGACTGCATCTACCGTGAGACCCTCAACGACAGCCCTGAATATGTAGAAAGACAAATCATTTCCTTGTTTATGCTATCGAAATTTCTACACTTGGTCGAAATTCGATAATCTTTGTTCGCGGTGTGTAGAAATGTATGCGTTTTCGAATATTTCTACTGTATCGGTCGGCAAGCTCCCTTGAGGCGATTCGTGCGTCTCGATTGATTGTAACCATAATTAGTCGCGTTCGGAATGTTTTTCGAAGCTTTGCCGTCTCGGTCAGAGATGCAGTTACCGTTGCGCAACGCGCGGCGACTCGAATTGGCCAAGTTTAGAACACTATGCAAATACCGGTACCAGATAACCAACTAAACGACTTTCTTTTCTTCTGCGAGTCAATTTTCAATGTTACCAATACCTTCTTCTCGTACACAAATGATTTGTTGTTCTATCTAGTTTTACATACATATACTGTCAAGTATACGTCACATCAAGTACAAACATAATCGAATCTGTTAGTCTAGAGAACATGGGCTATACACATGGAACAATGTTTGTAAGTACTATTTCTCCTTGCAATCTGTAGAAAAAAGATACGTGACGTTGATCTGTTCTCTGTTGAAATTGTAGTATAGATTGTTCCGATTTATATTAGCCAGCTAAACTCTGAAATTGGACCGGATCATTTAGTTGTTCTTTTCCGATATAAACTGTTGTTAAAATTTGGCGAAATAAACGTTTCCTTCTATTCTCTGTATCGTCTATCTAATAAATACATGTTGTACAATTGTTTGTGGAAAAACTAATAATCGATTCTATCGTATTTAGTTGATTTTTCTCGCAATATGGTACTTTGGCTATATCCATTGTTTACGATTCGCAAGGAGGGACATAGATAGGATAGGATATAGGAGCTCTGCAATTGATCAAAGCTGGAAAAGAAGAAATCGATAAGGTCGAAACTTACGCGATAGTTCCGTCTCCGTAGAAGGATATAGCGTCGACGATTTTTCCATTCGCAACGTTGTATCTGGTCATAAGATTCATCTCGCTCCACGTGAGACTGATATTTGCTTGAAATCCAACAAGCTTGAAATCGCCCTGATTCACCGTATAGGCGGACAAACCGACCCCACGAAGGTTATCCAACGAAACTGACAATCTGTTAACGAAAACAAACCAACTGTTTCACTTGACCGATACTAGCAAGAAATCGCACACACATACAATCATTACTTTCAAAGTTAATTGTTCGAATGAACGATGAACGATGAACGATGAACGATGAACGATTAAGGATCCATCGAACGAATACTCACTCGATTAACTCTTTTTCGTTCAAGTTGACGTTGACGTGGTTCACCTGAAGAGGATCGAGAACGGGAATGCCAAATTCCGAATTTCCGGTCTTTAAGATATCCTTGAATTTTTCCAGAAATCCAACGAGCATTCCATTCTTATCATAATTCTCAATCTCCATGTTTCCTGAAAGGAGGAAAACGTTTGCGGTAAATTAGTCTCGTACTCGTTCGGTTCGCACTAGAAATGAAATGGAATAGAGTAAAAGTGAAACAGATACGAGCCCGAATCATCGACGAATCGACGAGTTCGGTTTCGATGGACACCGAAAACAAGTTTTTACTCACGTTGCGCCGCTTCGACTCCGCCGCGCATAAAAGCATGGCAAGAGACCAAGATCGCAATCATCACCGTTGCGGACAGTTGCATTTTTCTGAAACCGAAACGAGGAACATCGATCAGAACATGTTAAGATTTTCTCTACATCGCTAACGCTACTAACATTCATAATCGAATCTTGACTTGATTTTACTAGCGATCCGAGCTGCGTCGCGTCGCGTCGCGTCGCGTCGCGTCGCGTCGCGTCGAGTCGAGTCGAGACGAATTTATATGTTGGAATTTGAAATTTGTTCGTAGACTAACGTAATTCCGCGAATTCGCTTCTTCTAACAGATTCGTTTTCATTTCGTTTTCCTTTCCCTAACTCGTAGACAACAGAAATGTTGAACCTCATCGTTAGTCAGATCGATCGAAACGCGTGATTGCAAACGCGATGCTCGATCGACTTTCCAGACCAATAATAATTGACTGTTAATACTCACGATTTCGATTTTGATGACCGACGCGTATAAAGTGTGTCACCGAATTGTCGACTTGTATCGACGATCATCTCTTATATAAGCGTCGATATCGTTAATTTGCACGTTTAAATCTCTTATCGAATGCACATTATCTCAAGTACTCGTTCGCTTCATTGATGGATCGGCAAAACAATGATTCGAAAGTACCAGATTCTCGCAAGTATGAAAACTGTGAAAAATCGTACAGTTTCGAAAAAGGGTATTAATATTAATTATTCAATTATTGATTAGTTAATTGCAATCGAGAGGCATTATGTGTACATTATGTGCATTATGTCGACAACGTTCATTGTTATTTGTTAATCGAATTGCATTTTGCCTGAAAATGATAAGCTGATGGATCACGGCTATCGATTTGATCACGGTATCGTGATTAATATTGTGTTATTATTATCATTATCAGGGCCATTCGTACAAGTATTCCGTATCTAACCGGTAACGAAATCGCCTACTCTATAAACCTCTTGATACACCTATACCGCTTTCATCGATATATGTTTTATACATATACATATATGTATATATTTTTTAGCTAACGTAACGATAACGCAACGGTGAAAAACCATTTTACGCTATTTTTCTTGGACCGTTGCGTTCGGCCTCCATCGAGTTTTCGTTGCGAGGCGAGGTCTCGAGTCTCGAGGCGCTTCACCACTAGCCGAAATCTTCCGAGGGTTTTTGTTTGTTTAGTTTCGGAAAGCGTGCCTCGAATCCTTTACGATCCTTTTACGATTTATTACTCTCCCACTATTGTTTATTTTCTAACTCGTCGACTGCCATTGTCCGTCTTTCCTCTGTCTCGTTGTTCCGATTTCAGGATTCCGATAACCGTTTGCGTATTTAAACCTCAACGATCGATATCACGTGAATTTCATGGTCAGCGAAAATAGCCTTTTCGGATTTATGGTAATTCACGGTCCGTTCTTCGCGTTTCGATAATAATCGATGACGGGCATCAGTTTGCCACTTGCTCGACATTGCAAGTGCAACAAACAGCCGATGCCATGGTTTCCTCCAACGTTGTTACTATTCCGCGCGCTTGTTGTATCGAAAAATTATCGAGAGAAGAGAAATTAAAGGAAATGTACAATAATATACGCTGCAATCGCATATTTGTAATTCGGGAAAAGAATGTTGGAAATCGTCATCAGTCATCCCGCATCGGTCCCATCGTAAAGATTAAATCCTGTTAGTTCTTGGTATGGATACTCGAACGAGGTTTCAAATTTCGACACACATCCGGAAATGAAGAACGATATTTCAGTTTTAATTTGTAGACATGGTAAATTGAAAAACGTAAAGAATTCGAATTCGGCGGTAAATTCGATTGGCAGCAGTCGATGGAAAAGTTGTGTTTGCAAGTATCATCGACGATTGACGCGTACGATTGTCAAGAGGTAGTAAATATTTGGTTCGATCGGTGACGGCCGCAGCAGCAGTGAGGCTCTCGTCGTCAAAGAAGAATACAAAGAGAAACGGAAGAATAAATGATACGAAGCAAACGAAAGAAAAAAGAGGAGGTGGGAATAGGTTGGCAAGCGATAGCGCGTAAGAAACGCAAAACCGAAGGAGGAGTGAATACTAGAAGAGACAGAATGTGTGAGAGAGGGGGGTGGGTCAGTAGAAGCTCGCGGCGCGGCGCGGCGCGGCACGGTGCGGCACGGTGCGGAGCGGAGCGAAGAGGTGGGACAATGAGACTGGGATAGGGGTGGTCGGGCGAAGGGTGAGATAGGTAGAGTGGGGTGAAACTGAGAGGGGATGCCAGGCCAGTTCACCCTTACTAGCCGTAGCTCGAGTCGTCAGTGCGGCCTGAACGGTTAATCGGCCTACTTCTCTTTCGAATAGTTGTCGCCTTGATTTCTCTCTCTCTCTTTCTCTTTTTCTCTTCTTCTCCTCTCCTCCACCCCCCCCACCCTTCTCATTCTCTCTCGTGTTCGTGATTTGCGTCGTTCAAGTCAAAGTCAAAGTCAAAGTCGAAATCGAAATCGAAATCGAAATCGAAATCGAAATCGAAATCGAAATCGAAATCGAAATCGAAATCGAAATCGAAATCGTCGTCGCCGTTGGTGATTGTGGTGGTGTCGTTTCTATCGGCAATTACGAGCGCGAAAGTTGGAGTCAAAGATCGCAATTGCAACTCCAAAGAGCGGAAAAGCTCGTTCGGAAGAGAGAGGAACGTCCATCCGTGGGTCGACTCGTGGCTCGGTGTGCTCGAATTGTTACGACAACAGACTGGTCGTCGAACGAAGGATAACGAAAGTTGCAGAGAAACAAGAAAACGTCAAGTCAGGATCGACAGTCGACGTCGACGTCGACGTCGACGAAACACAGCAGCCGCCGCGCCGAGCAGCGAGGAACGACAACGAGTTAGGCGAGCAGCGGACTGGACAAGCAGTTCCAACCATCCAACTTGCAACGTGTCGAGTCGAAGGTTCCGCGCGAATCTTGTTTCTCGTTACTTGGCATCGTCGTCGAACTGGACACACAGGAACGGAGAAGGTGGCGACCGCGACGGTGCTCGCTCTATTGGAAATTCGTAAGTCTGATTTCGCATTTCTCTTTCCCCAAAGATCGATTCCCGTTGCGTATGCTCTGCGATCGAATCTGTGTCTCTCGATATCTCAGTCCTCGTACTCTGCGCTTCCGAGTCCTAGGAAGAAGAGCCGAGAGTTTCCGTGTCGGACAATTGACGATAGAGCGCAATTGCCGACGATTCATCGTTGATGAATAGACGCATAGAGAGTAACGAGTTGACACACCGCGATATCTTTCGATGACGGAAAATAATATATCGAGATTAGGTAAACGGTAACACGAGGCACGAGGCTATGTAGCTGGTCAGTTGGTAGGTAGATATATCGTAGTACAAGAGGTGTCTCGAGATTCAATCGCGGCACGCGTCGCGCTCGATTCTGGCCGGCACAGTTTTTCACGCGGTACCATCCTCGTGGAAAGTGGAAACGGGTTACGGCGACGGTAACCCGGAGAGCTTATTTAACATTTTTACCTGGATTTTTGCGTTAACGAAACGTCTTTTCCTCAGAGTTACGCATCGTAACCCAGCAACGGTGAGTTGATTCCGTTTTCCTCGTGCTAGAAGAGACGTAGATACGTTTACCCTGATCAATTTCAACTGGCCAGCATTTAACGTTTGAGTTAATGCTGTCGCGGTTTATTCATAGCTACACTTTCCGAACGAAAATTATACAAGTGTTGATCACAGCCAACTCGCCGAACGATCAAATTTGCTGAAAATTTCACAGCGGTCCATCTTGGAATAGCCAAAGCTCTCGTGTACTCGGCGATATAGTTTCGATACAACCATTCTGGAATTTGTCATTTTTCGTAGTCGTGGTGTTACAACCGACAAAATAACCGGACCATCGGAGATGTGCGAATACTCGTTACGTTGGAGTTGTACTCGATAAATAAAGCACCGTTTAGATCGAAGCGATGGAATAGAAGAACCGTACCCCAGTACGCGGGTAAAATATCGATTGTTGACTAAGAATCGTTTGCCAACAATCCTATTAGCACGCGTGAGTTACGGCGCAAAGCTATGCCGCGCCACGCCGCGCCGCATCAACGATAAGATCGGCAAACGGATATCGAGGAATATGTGACACGGATTAACGGAGGTAGGCCTGCCAGCTTTTGGCGATAAATTTCGATAGGCTTAAGCCCGCTGGATGCACTCGAGATCGAAGATCGGATTTTCCTAGCCGAGGTCAACCGATAAATATCCTCGCACACGATAGTCGTACACGGTGAAGGCCGTTCCGCCCTTCGATGTACTATCGAATCATTAACCAAATATCGTAACGTAGCTGCGAATATCCATGCTAGCCTTCCAAGGAACAGCTCGTGTTCACTGCTCCTCGTAAACTCGACGCTGACAATGAGTAACGACTAACGACTAATGAATATCCGACACCGACTGACTTTGTGTCGACGCTACAATACCTAATCCTGCTGTCGTTACCTTTCTTTACGATAAACGATGTCCATTCGAGAGTCGGCTTCTGATGGACGTTAACCATGCTAGGCCTCCCGCTATAAACTGCTGCTGTACCAATTGAATTAATCGAAATTTTATTGGTAAAATTGAACATCATATTTTCGGAGATCCATATCTACTTAACAACTTTAACATTCATAAAGATACTTAATTTAACTAGTTTTTTCACTTTTTAGTCGAATCCATTTCTTCCAAACCTTCCAAGTAATTCTAGTAAATCGATGTTACTCGTGAAAGCATCGGTACTTTTGTTATGAAAGTCTCGTAAGAAATCTCCTAACCTACATAGTAAACCTATCGTTAAGACTTTACGAGCAGAATGACCCGCGACCGTCCGTATCGCAATTAATCAGGCACTCATTGTTGAACAAACAAAAAATGAACCTTGAAACCGAATCATCGAATCCGTCGAGTTATCGATTGGCAATTCGTCGAGATTTAACCGATCGATATCGCGTCTTTTTTCAATTATCTACAGAATCTACACGCTTTTTTAAATTATGTTACGCGAATGTGGAAAAAACATGCGATGTGGTATACGTCGAGTACGTCTCGGACGCCGACGCGACGCGCTGCCTGCGGGTCGAAGTAATCAAATCTTTGAGATAATTTCGGAAAGAATTTTATTTAGACGAGACATCCACGAGATGTTTTCATTTCACTACGTCTCCTAAATTTCGCAGATTACGAAAAGTGAAATTACATGGTTCGATGAGCCTACCGACCTGTAATTTGTAGCACACATATATGTATACACACATACAATATATATATATATATATATATATATAGATAGATAGATAGATAGATAGATAGATAGATAGATAGAGAGAGAGAGAGAGAGAGAGAGTAACGATGTAAAGTAAACGTTGGACACATACAGGTGGCCTTTGCTTTCGTTTGAACTAGCAATCAGAGCCAAACTAAAAATAGGAACCGTGACCCAACTACGTTCGATTCCACAATTATGCATTTCCTCTCATTGTCCAGCTATTTTTCGCTCCCCGCGGCCGCGGCGCGACCGAATCAATGTGCCGTTAATACAACGCCGTACGTCTCTGTGTCGGGACGTCGATCGGCTGGAGCCCGTCTCTACGTACGTATCTACATACACGCGTCGGTGAAAGTGAGATGAAATTCAAACAGCTCGCGAGAAACAGGGTCGAGTCGATATTTTTTTCATTTCTCTTAAATTTTCTATCGATTAATCTAGCACCGAACGGCTGGAGGGAAACGGACAACGATGCGATGCGATGCTATGCGATGCGATGCGGTACCCCTCTATGTGTGATCGAGAAACGAGAATACTATGAATTGTAGCATAAATATACCTTCCTTGTCAATAGCTCGACAACGATATGCATATCGATATTTGGATAGGATATTGTAATAACATACTTAGAGAGACGACAATCGGAAACATTATCTATTACCTATAAATTCTAACGAGACGTTGTTATCGCTTTAAATCGTCCATCGTTCTCCACGCAACTTGTACCGCACGTATCGCATACAAAAAAATCCGTACAATGTCACGAAAGACTTGTCGTTATCGTTAATAGTTTCCAAGACAAGAGTTGGTAACAATTTACGCGGTTCACCCTGTACAACGTTTAAATTCAATCGGAATATTTTTCGATCGAGCAAGCATGATTTCTTTGTTTGTTTAAACGATATGTCGATAATTTGCGCACGAAGCAATGTGCGGAAACACGCGATTTTCTGATGCGTGTAGTTGTAGTTGTACTTGTAGTCGTAGTTGTAGTCGTAGTCGTAGTCGTAGTCGTAGTCGTAGTCGTAGTTGTAGTCGTAGTAGTCGTAGTCGTAGTTGTAGTCGTAGTCGTCGTAGTCGCCTCCGTGACTGTAGACTGTAGAGTCACGTCGCGAGCTAATTAACTTTCAACGATTCCGGTTAATCTCTGTTAAGTTTTCGACGGACGACCTTCTGATTTCCCTTGACGAAAATAAACCGGAGACAAGGAACTTTACCAAGGATTTGCATACAACGTTATATAACATTGGGTATGTCTTCGTTATGGCTTACGTTGGCTGTCACTGGATGAAACAGCTATTCATATGTATATATCAGTACATACTGTACGCGTAACATTTATATGCCAGGAAATGTATGTATCGTTACGAGAGATTTGTGATACTAGGAGGGAAATGATTATCTAAAACTAGACAATTTGTTAAATATCGATATACTACTTATATATAATAGTGTCTCGATGACCGTAGGTCGATAGCGTTACGTAAAAGGATTATCGTATTTGCATTCCGGTGGTCATTAGCTATAAATGATCGAAACTTTCTTTCCAATCGGAACGGTGTTTGTTTTTTAAGGACCGCATTACTTTAAACGAAATTAAAAGTCGTTTAATAGCACTAGATATACATATATATGTAAAGGAAAACTAATGTCAACTAAGTGGGCAGATTTTAGACATGGCGCGGTACAGCAACGGGCGCGCGTGCGCGCGCTCGCGCGCTTTTATTATATTATTTTAAATTTAAATACGCTAAAAGAGAGAAAAAAAAGTTGTGAAAAAATAGCGATTCAAGCGGAGAAATAATAAAACGAGGGTGCGGTATCTGCGCAGAATAAAATGCGCGGTAATATTCGCTGTTGACTGTTACACGATGCGGATCGCGATGCAGAGACGATACATAAGTTTTGTCATAAGCACAGACCACGCACGCATCACATCTGCCATCCGTATCGTGTAACAGTGAACGGCGAATGAAAATGAATGCCTCTGCGCAGGTACGATACTTTGTTCGGGATAAACAAATGTACAGATATATCATAAAAGATTAACTGAAATTAAAGGTTGCTTTAACAATGAAATGGACGCTTTTGTAGGAATTATATTCCGATGATTGCGTCGCGTTATTAGCGAGGTACATACGTAACAGTGAATTTTTGTTGTTTACCCGATAAAATCAGCAAGTTCCGATAACGATAATTAGCGAAGGTCTCTGTTTAAATGTCACGTTATCTAGCGAGCTATTTCATCGGGGAAAGAAGCGTGTATTTTCGAGGCCGAATGGCAGCTCTGATTGCCGATGGCCATTGAAAAAGAAGTACATCTCGATATCGATAAGTGTCGAGGAGATCGACGGCCCGATAAGGACGCTGGCCTTTATTCGCACGACCCCGTTATCATCGCGTTGTATCTGCGCGCGTTTGCATTTTCGAGACGACGACGACGACGACGACGACGGTAACGGCGGCGGTGGAGCCACGCTGCCGCTGCTTCCAGCAGCTGGCAGGGTCTCTTGTCTTTTTTCCTCACACGAAATCGACGTATTTCTCGTCTTCGTTTCCGTGAATGTCGCGTCGATCCGCGGCCGGACGTTGCTCGAAATAAATTGTCCATGCTAGTCGCAACTCGCGACGCTTCAACTAAAAACGGAAAGCTGTTTTTGCTAAAATTCCATTTCTCGTAAATAGTAATATGAACATTGAAACAATTGGAACGCACGGAACATGTTGGGGCAACGTACGTTAGCAT